GCTTTTGGAGGATCTGAAACCATATTTTGCACCTTGCTTATCGCACACATGCCTCAACCCGCATTGAGGGGTTAAGTAATCTCAAGCAGACTTGCCTATGTGGTTTCCGACAGTGCATGACAGACTCTTGGCTGGTGCTGGGCAGTATATCAATAAAACGTGATATTGAGGTACTGTAATATTGCTTTTTCATTTTAGCGATATTTTAGTGATATATGTGATGGATAATGAGCATTACATCCAAAATGGCCATGAAATAGCATTGGTCCTGGTAAAGTGGTTTGTTTTTAGTTTAATTTATTTAGTTTATTAATGTTATCCAGGATCTGAGAGTTAACTATAGTGTACACTCTCAGAGAAAAACTACCTTTCAGGGTACAGTTGTTGTAACTTTAGTTAGGGAACATAATTGTATGATATTTTATTAAGCTGCATTGATTGCAGGTACCCAGTCTTGACTTCAGACGTTTTTATTTTTCTACTTAAAAGGTTAAGCTATGGAAAGATACAAATATACCCCTTTGGAAAGTAAACAAAGTTTATCTTTAAAACTTTAAGCTACACACTCAAACCTTAAGGACCATATTGTACCTCTGAGGGCACATGTACGTTGTTTGTAACTTGGGGGAATAAAATTTACTGAGGCAGTGCCCTATTTGGACAGTCGCAGGCTAGAGTTTAGAGAACCAGCCTTGTGTCTGGTTCAATCCCTTGAGCTGACAGGACATGACTGAAGTGCCCTTGAACAAGGCACCTAACCCCCAACTGCTCCCAGGGTGCTGTGGATAGGGTTGCCCACCGCTCCGGGCAAGTGTGCTCACTGCCCCCTAGTGTGTGTGTTCACTAGTGTGTATGTGGTGTGTCACTGCACAGATGGGTTAAAATGAGGAGGTGAAATTTCCCTGTTGTGGGACTAATAAAGGATAACTTTATTAGAAACTTATTTTCCTAACATCATTTGCTGGGTAGTTCAGACTGATTTGAAGGAACAGTTTAAAAGCCATAAATGTTAAAAAATAGCAAGTGCAAAGTGTAATAACCCCTGTGTAATAACCCCTGTGGTTTTTGGATATAAATAGAAAACCGTCCAATTGAAACAAGCTATATCAGATTTGTAAGACATTTTGTAAGACTACTTTAGTGCTGGGGCTGAAAGATGAATCATTTTTTTTATTGAAATGGCAATTTAAGAGATGGCAATATTTTTAGGTATAGCCTACATTATAAAAAAATGTTGTTTTATGTTTTAAATGGGGGAAATTTTACTTATTAACACAGATCTTGTAAACTGCATGCAGATGATTAGGACCAATCAGAGGAAACCAAACTTCCATGTGTTGTGACATCATGACCACAACTAGTGGATGTCTGGCACACTACATTCAGGGGTCAGTCTTCAGGCTAGAAAAAAGTGAATATCATTCAGCCCTGTTTAGGGCAGTGTTTATAAGGCTATGTGACACCTACATAAACCTTTCATGACAACTGACAACCTACATAAACATTTATAAGAGTTTGTTATAATGGCTTCATCCATCATAAAGACTGCCTTTGGCAACATTGTTATGAAGTGGACATAATCACAGGAGACTGATTTTTTGGGTTGTTATCACACTGTTGAAATCACATTGCAACCTAACAGCCACAGAAAATACTTACTTTTGCTCAGCCAGTCTGACTTGGTTGTCTAATTATCAGCATTATGTCACTGTGACATATACTGAGCTATATATATATATATATATATATATATATATATATATATATATATATATATATATATATATATATATAGTCTATGTAATAACAAGTTTACATAACTTAAAATTTGAGGTAAGCTGCAGCCCTAAAAACATTAAGTTAAACATTGGTGAACAAACCAGCAATTTTAGGCTAAATATACTGAAGATACTACACACTGCATGTTAGAATGACTTAATTTTTTGTGCTAGATAAACTTAAACACATTTCTGCACCTCAAAAATTCAGATTATTTTAACTTTTTGAGTTACACTTAAAATCTCTTGTTTATAAGTTTTCATAGCTAGTTACACTACTATTTCTGATCATTTAATACTGACCATGTTCTTAAATGCTGATGGGTAGGCTGTGTGGAGTGAAAACGTTGATGGTGAATAAAACAAAGAGTTAAGAAACACCAAATATGCAAATAGATGGAGCCAGGAGCCAATGGGAAAGAAGATTGTGTTAAACAATCAAACGTGTCACTGTATTTAAACAAACAGCTCACTTGGTTTCATTCAGTTATACACATTTATTGATTAACATTAATGAGAGAAAAACGATTAAAACCAACAGCAGTTTCATTTTTTGAACATGGTGGTTTCAAAGCTGCCATGGCAACAGACTAAACAGACTAAAGTTGATTCAACTCAAAATGCTGTTTGAATGTACGAAATAAATGTACCCTTAACTTAAAGTAGTTAAGTGATATATGAGGTCTTCAGTTTATGTACAACAGACTTAATTAGGGTTAAAACAGAATTAGGGATTGCAGTGCATCAGTCCAAGTGTTTATAAATGTCTATGTCTGTAAATGTACATCTATGTCAGTTGTCATAATAAGCTTATGTTATTGTCACATAGCCTTATGAATACCATCCTACCAAGCGTTCTGTTAGTATACCAGCACTCAGGAAGCGTGAGTGTATTAACTATCTTAATATCTTAGTCAGATACCATGATACTGTGACATATTTGGAAAATATTTTGATATTAAATTTCACCGTGTAGCACTACTGTTATGATTATGTACAAAAAGGGTCAAAAGTACACTGCATAGCTGAAAACAGTAGCAGTCATCTTGAAAACTGATTTTCTTTGTACTTCAGATTTATGATGTTTTGTGATCTGTACTACTCACTGGAATTGGTGAGCAATCTTAGCACCAGGCTCTGTCAGGGGCTCGATGGCCTTGCTTTAGTTTTCCATGGCAACCCCAGGCCTGCTCGAGCGCTCTTGACCTGCCCTCATTTGATCAAAGATGGGACGTACGTGCAGCCGCCTAATAAGGCTTAGTCACGAGGGAGGAGTAACCACTCGCCCACAGCCATTCGCAGCTGACAGGAAAAAATGATGTGTACATCTTATCATGTACCAAAGCAGTTTATCACAGCTTGTAGATTAGCTGGTTCACTCTGAACTTTCAGCTTTTGGTTTCTGTGAGTGGTCATCTGATGTGTGTTTGACAGCATGCATTAAAAATGACAATGAATGTTAGAAGGAAAAGCTGTGTGATCACTGTGATGATTATGATGGATCCCCAGTAATGATGCCTGTCCTCTAGCAAAGATAGTATGACAGTCATGAAGAAACTTCAAAATGTGCTTTGTTTCGTTTCAGAGTAGAGCCTGTATACAGTGCTGTGAAAAAAAAGTATTTGCCCCCTTCTCAATCTCTTCTATTTTTGCATATTTGTCACACTTGAATGTTTCAGATCATCCAACTACTTTTAATATTAGATAAAAAATAACCAAAGTAAACACAAAATGCTGTTTTAAATGATGATTTAATTTATTGAAGGAAAAAATACTGTTCAGCCCTACCATGTCAAAAACATAACTGCCCCCCCTTAGCCACTAAATCAACCAGTTACCAAAGTCAATTGACTATTGGGTTCAGTTTCACCAGCCACACCCAGGCATGATCACTGCCAGACCTGCTGAATCTAAACATCACTTAAATAGAACCTGTCTGGCAATGGGAAGCAGGATAGAAGGTCTCAGAATGCAGCACATGGTGCCACGTTCTAAAGAGATTCAAATACAGATGCGAAACAAAGTCATTGAAATATGCCAGTAAAGAGTTACAAAGCCATTGCTGAGGCTCTGGGACTCCAGTGAACCACAGTGAGAGTCATTATTCATGGATAAGAAAGCTTGGAACAGTGGTGAACCTTCCTAGGAGTTGCCAGCCTACCATAATTTCACCAAGAGCGCATTGACGACTCATCCATGAGGTCACAAAAGAACCCAGAAGAACATCTAAAGAACTGAAGGCCTCACTTGCTTCACATACATGATTCCACAATGAGAAAGACACTGGGCAAAAATGGCCCTGTTACATCTGGCATAAAGCTAACACCACATTCCACCATAAGAACATTATACCAACAGTGTTGGTGGTGGTAGTGTGACGCTATGGGGCTGCTTTGCTTCTGCAGGACCTGGATGACTTGTCATAACTGTTGAAACCATGAATTCTGCTCTCTATCAGAAAATCCTGAAGGAGAATGTCCGCTCTTCGGTTCATGACCTAAAGCTCAAGTGCAGTTGGGTTATGCAGCAGGAAAATGATCCAAAGCACACAAGCAAGTCACCTTTGAATGGTTCAAAAGAAACAAAATTAGGGTTTGGGGTGGCTGAGTCAAAGTTCTGACTTGAATCCCTTTGAGATGCAGTGGCAGGACCCTAAACGGGCAGATCATGCTGGAAACCCTCCAATGCAGCCGAATTAAAACAATTCTGCAAAGAAGAGTGGATCAGAATTCCTCCGCAGCGATGTAAAGGGCTTATCGCAAGTAATCGCAAACATACAAACTGCCAAAGGTGGCATAACCAGTCATAAGATTTTGGGGGGGGCAGTTACTTTTTCACATGGGTGATATAGGTTTTGAATAAATCTTTATCTTCAATAAATGGAATGAACATATAAAAGCTGCATTTGTTTGTGTTCGATCTGAAACATTTAAACATGACAAATTAGCAAAAATAGAAGCGAAATACTTTTTCACAGCACTGTAGATGGGTTTTCAGACTGGTAATGGGGAGGTACTCTCAGAGCCGCTGCTCCTCAGGCCAGCAGGAGGCCTCTGATTAGCTGGCCAGATTTGGCCTGACTCTGTATTTCAAACTGCTGGGACATCTTACTCCAGCACTTGCAATTGAGCCATTACGGACTGGTCGTCTTAAGTGTTTCCATTCATGTCTCTGAAGAGAAATAATATCGCTTTCACTCTCTCTCTCTCTCTCCTCCTCCAGACCTCTCTGTGGCCGTTCAGAAGTTTTCTCAGTCTCTGCAGGAGTTCCAGTTTGAGTGTATTGGCGATGCAGAGACAGATGATGAGGTGAACATCGGTAAGTCCAGCCACTGAATGACACTGTAAGGCCGACAGATGTTTTCAGCAGCCTTTTTTACTGCCCATGTCCTAAACATATAATAAAAACAACCATCAAAACTACTCAGATCAGCATGAATCACTGCGAAGACAACTTAACCTTTTAAACCCTAGGCAACAGTTCAGTTTTGTTGTAGATCTTGTAGCTTATTTTATTGCACATCTTGCACATCTGGACACTCCACACCTAGTCACTTTATTTCAGTACCAATATATGCACATATTTTTATTGTCATTATATTGTGTTACCTGAGCCTCCTTATACATTCATTATTGCACTGCCTTTTTTTTAATCTCAGGATAGATCTTAAATAATAAATGCATATTTTTGTATATTTCTAGTTGTATATGTGCCTGTATATCGTCGCTGTCCAAGAAAAAACAAGTATCTCCAAAAGAGTAGCTTTACTTTCGATGTAAGTTAATGGAAAAAGTTTTTATTCTAAGCAATTTTGGAGCATTTCTATTGGTCCAATTATCATGAAATTTTCACACAATGTAAAGGAGAGCTTTTGAGCTCAAATGATGCAGAAACGTAAAAATCACAGAAAATGGAGATACATGTTTTTCATTGGACAGCGATGATATATATATATATATATATATATATATATATATATATATATATATATCATCATAATATATATATATATATATACCCTTATTATTCTAATTGTCCTGTGTTGTGTGACTGCTACTGGCTGCTAAATTTCTTTCAGGATCAGTAAAATGTCTGTCTGTCTGTCTGTCTGTCTATCTATCTATTGTACAGTGAATTATTCAGTAACTACTATACTACTAAATGTCAGTTAAGTTATAAGAATGAGGCATGGATGTCTGGATCAATCCATGCTGCCACTGCTGTTTTCTATTTCTGACAACTGTCTGAAACCTGGTTAGACTACAGCTCATTTGCACAGTCAGGGATGTATCTAGGACTTCCAGAAGGACTTTTTATGTTTTTTTTTATTCTTTGGCACAAAATTGGTCCCACCCATTGTGAATCAGAACCTGATTGGTTGGTTCCTCTGTCACTTATGAATTATGTTGGTGGTTAATGTAAAGCATAAGGCCTTCTGTTCAGCTCCTGAAGGCCTAACCCAGTGGTCACCCAGTGGTTACCAGGCCTAACCCAGTGGTCCACCACTTCTAGAGGCAGTAATTAGATGGGTGAAGTGGAGTTGATCAGGGTTATAGCTAAAGTCTACAGGAAGGTATATCTCAAGGAACAGGGTTGGTGACCACTGGCCTAACCAATTGGAGAGTTATTTTGCCTGGATACCTGCCTGGATACCATGGGGAAATAAATTCTTACTGGAAAGTTTTCTGTTTTCAAAAAAGTTAAGTCCTTTTGTTTTCAACCAAAACTTAGACGTAAGAGTATAAGTGCAATACTTGCATCATTTAAATACAATAAACATAATAACTGTATAAAATAAAAATGAACTAAAACTCTCTGAAAGCCTAGAAGATCCTGAGGGTTCCACACTGGTATCCAGTATTGCTGAGGTTGGAATCCAAAGCGAAACTAAACTACATACAGTGTGAAGGCAAAATGCACACAAGGAAGTGGAGCATTTTGAGGACCAATTAGCCAAGGAAGCATTTATATCAAAAAATGAGGTGATTTTACTGTGTCATTTTAAGGTAACTGGTAGCCAAATCAAATTGGACCAAAATCAAGCCCTTATCTCACCACTTTATGAAAGATTATTAAAAAAACAGCAACGTTTCTTATTCATACATTCTGGTTTGGTAAATGCAATACTGCCCCCTGGTGTGCACATTAATGTTATCTTGTGTTGGCGGACACTTATGTGAACGTCTTTGCCCACACATGTTCGCGGATTCATAGATGCAGAGGTATAATTCACTCTTCTCCCCCAAACCCAAGCCCCCTACTCACCCACACCCTTGTGTAAAGTCTGTGCCGGATGGACGGGATTGTCATCCTAATTATGACCTTTTTCTGGCATTTCCGTAAAAGCTCCCCTGGGACACTGATCCCCTCTGAGCCCTGCTATGCTTCCTTATTCCAAAGGCAGGGTCAGGACGGACCTCTCGTGACCCCCTCTCTCTCACAGTCATACACACTCTCACTGTGTCACTCTCTCAGTCCTCCTCTCTGTGATAACTGCTTTCCTCGGCGTGGGCTCAAAGGCCTAGGTTTGGTCAGGTTGACCAGTAAATGTGGTCCAGTATGTGAAGCTACATTACGCATACTGATCTCCCACTCAACGGCGGTGTCTTTGTGATTATCTGCCCCGCATGCATAATGGATCGTATCGATTTGCTTACATTACGGGCATCCGCATCTCTTCATCCTTTTAAGAGATCAGAGCGACTAATTGTGATCTGTGTCGGAGATTAATGGAAGCACAGCCTCGCTCGCCCTCGAAAGGGACGGCAGAACAGATGCGCTGAGAGTTTGAACGCCCTGATGGGCTGATCACTAATTCAGTCCAACTTCCTTCCCTCTTTCGCTCACTCATTCCCTCTCTCTCTCTCCCTCTAGCTTGCTCTCATTCTTTCCGTATGTCTTGTTCTCTGTCTCCAACCTACTGTCTCTTTTTCTGTCTCTTTTCTATCTAACTATCCTACTTCTCTCTCTCTCTCTCTCTCTCTCTCTCTGATTTTTGGAGAGCTGATTGGTTTTAATGAGGAAAAATAATAGATTAATATTAGTGCTCAGTGTAAAAATACACAATTTACAATACACAGTACATAATTTATAATGTTGATTATAATGAAGCGTCTCGGTAAAAAGTACCGTGCAACACAATAAAGATTAAATCTCAAATTCCTCTCTTCGCATCCATCTATCTCTGCCTCCTCTTCCTTAGCTCATTATCCCGTACTCCTCTCTTCCCCTGTGCTTTGTGTATGTGGGACCGGCTCTCTCAGTCCATCTGTACATGGAACACCACTTTAGATCTCTCCGCCCTGGCTAGCCCCACAAAGCAGCTTGCAGTGTCCCCCAAACACAAAGGCGTGAGCTTTTTTTAATGGTTGTTTTAGGAAGTGGCTAATTATGGGTGTTGACTAAGAGCGAGCTTCTGCACAGTTAGCCAGGGTCCAATCTGGCAAACTCCTGTCCCCCATCTGATTCAGGCAAAGTGCAATTTTGGCAAGGAGACTGAATACAAGTGTGTAGTTTATTACCACTGTTTGTTACCAGAATGCCAGAAATCCTAATGTCTGAGGCAGGGGTCAAGACACAGGCAGACTGGTATGGTGTAGCCATCCTCATGCTGGAAATTACCGAGACTAAAGTAAAAACCAGAACAGGCAAATGAAGACTAGGGAACAAGGAAACATTAACTAACTAGGAAACAAGAATTAGGAATACAGGAATGGAGAAATAACAAGCAACAGGTGTAGTCAGTAACAAAGGGGTAGAGCCAGAATATTTCAAGATGTGATCATAAGGATCCATGCACAAAAAAACACTGAGTCAGTAACTGGTCTTGGAGCCAAGCTAGTGTGGGGTCCAGAAGCTGAGTCAGCGCTGAAATAGGGCAGGATCATATAAGGATTCTAGATCAAGGTTGGGTACAGAGCCTGTTACAGGATCAACAATACAACCAAGTTGTACAACAACTAGGGCCAGATTGCATTCAAGATTAGGAACAGTACCTGGTTCAGAGTCAAGTACTGGAGGAAGAATATGAGAGAGACTTGTGAACCACATAGTTCTGTAGTAGTGACAGGGACAGACCGTGATAAGGACAATAACAAGGACTGGAACATGGAAAGGAACATGAGCAGGAACAAGATGGAAATGGCCTGGAAATGGTGCTGCTTGGGGAATGGGCACCAGGGGTGCCTGAGAGATGGGTACCGTAGCCATCCAAAGGAAGCCTTGGGAACTGGACAGGCTCAAGGATGACAACAGAAGAGCATTCTGGGTCAGTGGAAAAATCAGAGGAAGCCACTGGGGTTGCAGCTGTGCCTGTGACTAGTATTGGGCCTGGACCAAGGATTGAGACAGAAGCTGGGACAGGAAGAGTGACTAAAAGAAGCTGGGACAGACCCTAGAGCAGTTTCTGGAGTAAACCTCAAATGTAGTCACAAGCTGATGTCTGATTTGTACCAGAGTCAGCAATTGGAACAGGATAGAGTCTGAATTAAAGAGTCAGGGCAGGATTAAAAATCAAGATTTGGACCAAAACTTTATCAGTTATCTTCCCAGTGTTCCACATAGTTCCTTCAGAATTGTGTTCTGAAGTGCAGGAGCAGGCCTTGGGCTGTTGTGGAGTCTGTGGACAGGATTATTGCTAGTACAACGTTGCAGGCTTGACTCCAAGGATTCACAAGGTCACCTAGAAGCAAGGCTTTGGTCGGTAGGCCAAGGTGTGTTGGAAGATCTCGTTTCTTGGAGTAGATGGTCAGAAGTCAGGAGGAGCAGAGGACTGGAGAGCAGGGGATCAGAAGTGTCTGGTTTGGGGAGCTCGGCAAAAGCTTCAGGCCAGAATGTTCCAAGATATGATTTTCATATCATATTGATTTTTTTCATATGCTTGTGTTTGGTACAGTATTAATGTGATACTAGTGTAGAATATTAATGTTCTCCAAAGCACCTATAAAGAAGTCCCACCTGCAGTCTTCGTACACTTTGTGCCAGGTGACCAGTTCTCAGTCGAAACTCAGAAATTCTCATCTATCATCCTTCACTACAAAGTTTTGAAAGTGCGTGATATTGCTGATCCCATCCCGTCCCCTCTCTAAAAGGGTAAGATTGCTTTCGCTGAAGAAAAATGTAATTGTCTGCTGGAATCCATCTGGTCATCAATGAAACGGGGGCTTTCTGAGTGACTTGACCGGACCCCTGTGTGCCATCCTGATGCATCTGCGCTTCAATCCACTTTGAAGCTCCCGTCCAGCCCTGGGAAGCGTCAGCAGCCTGTCGGCCAGCAAAGACAGGGGCAGCTGACCTCCTATCGATTTCATTCCATGGCTTCCTGCCGTGACATTCACAATCCACCACAGTTATCCTGAAATCAATCCCACAGCCAGGCTCAAGTGGCAGTAGAAATATTAATTGTTCTGAAAGTTGGACTCAGAGGTCCACCCTTTTATTTCTTTTTGTCTTCCACTCTTTTGTCTTTTTTTTCTCCAAAAAAAAAAGGTCACGCTTTATTAGAGCTCAGGGCTTTAAGTGGATCGGAAGCCAGTTTAACAACACAGAAGAAGAGGCTTAAATTACAGAAGACGTTGAGCATTATTAACACTGTCACATAATTGCACCCTTTAAGATAATCTTTAGTTGTGTCGTTGCCTTGGACGGTCCAGGACTGGTCTAGATTTATGGAGAATGCATTAAGAAATTGCAAAGTGAGATTCGATGTCTGCCTCTCTCATCAGACCCTTGCAGACTGGTTTTTGCATTCTCAGCCATTTTCCTGGCTATGACAAAAGCCCATTTCTGAGGATGACTCACCAGGCCTATTGCTTTTTTCCCATTAACCTGTGAATGATACGCAAGCTATAACCCATCCCTCCCCTTTAGCTCTCACTTACTGTCCTAAGCAGCTAACCTTCATCCCGGCCTCATTGTATAGCTTTCACCTCTCTTTCACACTCTGTCATTTCTCCTCCCCTCTCTCTATCTGTCTCGCTCTTCCCATCTCTCTATTTCACTCTGTCTGTATTTTTTGCTTTGTGCTTTTTCTCATTCTACTTTACCATTGCTTGTCTGTTTTTTCTCCTATGTTATCTTGGCTAAATGCTTTTCAGGACAGGTGGACGTACATAAAGGACCAGACAGACGGATGCATGTACAGACACGCATGAAGAGCTTCATGTTATGGAATAATAGTAAAGATAGTCGAAAGATTACACATATGGTATTATATTGTGACCATAAAATATTAAACCAAATCCATGTTATACGTTACATTCCTCAACATTCCCTCCTTTTGCTCTCATTCAGCTTTGCATGCTCTTTGCATTCTCTGAGACATCTGCGTAAGGAGTGACCTTCATGAGAGACATTTTTTTTGTTTTGAAATAAATGTATATTTATACACCACTGTTTATATTTGTATTTAAGCTTAGGAAAAGCATTCTCCCCCAGCCCCTCTGAAAACACACACTGTTGGCTGCACTTTGTATGTGCTTTCTGTGCTACCTTTAGCCTATATGCTTTAGGCTTTGAATGATTTAATGAAATTCTGTAATAGAAATGGAATATTGACCAGGGTATATTTTGTTTTTTCAATCTGAATTTACGTGACCAAATCGTAAGGCAAATTATTCAGTAACTGCATGAAATAAATATACATTTTTATTTTATTTATTTATTTATTGTAAAAGTTCCCCTCAGATTAACAGAATATGTGTTTTATGATACACATATCGCTAAATGCTTACAATTTACTGCTGAAAGCCAAAAGTCTTAGACGCTCTTTGTATTTTTTTATAAAAATAGTTTTTACAGAGCAGATCACTGAAGAGACGCCATCTGTTTATAGTTTATAGCCCAGATTTGTGAAAAATGGGTCGACTTTCAGTAGAAAAAAAAAGAGTTCAGCTTCTTTTTTTATAAGGGTTTAAAATTACCTGTCTATTTGAGTGTAAAGAAGACAGTTACAGCTCTCATACGACCCCAACCTTTACAATGTAGCTTATGAAATATGAAAGTTATAAAGAATATGACAAAGTGCGTTTTGGAACCACCGGTGGTCTCAAGGGGTTGAAGAGGTTAAATAATATAACTAATATGGTAAAATAATATAATATGGTAAATAATATAAATAATATGGTAAAATTGCTAACTATTACACATCTCATTTTAAAAATTGTGACTGCAACCACTTGCATTCGTGAGCTTCTGCTGGTGTGGGTTCATGTCTGTTTCCTCTCTTTAAAGGACACAAACAAAACCTCCTTTTATGCTACTAGCTCCCCCTGTGGAGAACCTTCAGACTGTTAAACATGTGCGAGTGAGTGAGTTTCAAAGCTGTGTCCAGGTGCTCTACACCTAAAAGGTATCTTCCATTGTTATAGCCCTGGAATTGTATTAAGGCCTGTGAGAAAACATTTTATTTTCTAAATTTTTGAGCCATCGAGACACTTAAGTTGTACGGAAATGTTCAACATCAACAGAATTTTTCCAGGATATGTAACAGTCTGGGAAACAGACAGAACGCAGAGACAATGGGGATTGTGCTCTACTGTAGTGTAGTGGTGGCTTATTAATGCCTTAATAATTCATCTTTTTTACAGAAAAAAGGGAATAAACCATTATATCTACATATTATTTAATGTTATTTAAAGCTGTTTAAAATTAAGTTAGTCCCCACAGATTCTCTTTCATTTCTCTCTCCCAACACTGCAGCTGTCACATTTGAAGCTTTGTCATCTGGTTACATGTCAGTCATCACTGATACCTGATCGCATTGCCCTATCAAACAGGCCTAATTTACACAGAAACACACAAATGGAGAGCTGTGTTATTCATGCCTGGCCTTAACAAGAGGGTCTGCAGTGCAGCTCATCAGTGAGGGCCTGCTAAAAGCAAGGCACATAAATGGACAGAGAGAGAGAGTGTGGGAGATGATGCATGGCCTGCCTGCCCGCTCAGACGGCCTGATAATGACGTTGGCTGGCTTGGCAAGCACCACCGTGCTAAGTGGCCAAACACAGGCTGAAAAAAGGAGAGAGAAAGGGGCTCTCTCCCTCCTTCTTCCCCTTACCTAATGAAGCGATAAAGGCATCATGGCCTGTCGCCTTGGCATGTGGGCACTGCGCTGGGAATGCATCAGCTGCCCCTGTATTACAGGGCAGAGAAAAGTAGGTTAGCACCAGCTCTAATGAGAGGCCACTGATAGTGGGCTGTTCCTAATTTCCTCTGGTTTAGTGTGGGGAGGTATACAGTGGGGTCCAAAAGCCTGAGACCACATGAGAAAAGGCATCTACTTTGCTTTCTTTTATAATTTAATGCAAAGTTTTGTTTTACTATAAATTAGATTTTTTGAAATTTTAACGTGAATTTGAGAATTTCCCTATTGCTTCAATAACGGCGTGCTCTCAGGCTGCACACGTTTGTGCAGAAGCCTCTAATGAGTAGATTAAATCCACCTGAGAGTCATCTAAACTCTACTTCAATGCAAGAGGATCTGATATTGAAGATTTTGTCCACATATTACTGATCAGAAACTTTCTTTGTCTTAAAATTTATAAAAATTCTAAAATTCTAAACAAAAAATCTAAAATCTGGGTCATTTTCAGGTTTAAATAAAACAAATATGTATTGTGTACTAATATACTGCTATTTGTGCAACACTGTGTTGATTTTAGCAGTATTGTTAGTTAAAAAAATATGGTTAACTGCAATGCATGTCCTTTTCCTGGTTGCGATTTTTTCTTTTGATATTTCTTCTTTGCCAATAGCGATGTTGAAACCTTGAGTATTGGCCGATACTGAGACTGGACTAATATTCTAGTCAAAACCAGTAAAGGTACGTCAAGCCTGAGTCCTGGACACATCAAGTCCAAGTCAAGCCCAAGACTGTAGTAGATCAGTTTGATTCAAGACCGAGAACGGATTAAAAATTCTTCAGAATATAAAAATAAAACAAAGAATGGGGGAGATTATTTGTTTGCAGTTTGTTGCACATTCATTATCATCCATTATATATGATACATAATAATAAATAAATAGTATTATGTTTTATAATATAGTTTGTAAAATATAATGTTAAATAACACATAGGTTTGGTATATTGTTTCATTATTATTATAATAAAGTCTTAGTGGAAAATTTGTGTTGTAACTTTTGTGAGCAAATGATGGGGACGTTCTTCTTTGTTCTTTCTTCTCTAAAACTTATAGAGAATCACTACCTAAAGCCGACTGAATGTAAAACAAACAACATGCACCCATTTTATTACTAAATGAAAACACAGTAATAATAAAATTTCGATCTGCTCTCAGGAGATGTTTGAAGTTTGAAATGAGTGAACATTCGATCCTCATGGATTACTACGAAAAAGATGCTCAACCGGTAGTGAACAGATTTGATTTAAACATGTAGCCTGTAAACTGGCCTCATATTTTTTTTCTTTAAAAAAGTACTAAGATATAAAATAAGCTATTTTTAATTGAAGCACTTCACTAAAGATAAATATCTAAAAGTGGGCTATTATGCTCAAACTAGTTAAACTCCATACTGGCCAACAGGAAGAAATACACAGCCAACAGCATCAAATGACACAGTCTGAATGTGCGCTGTTGCTATAGGATTGGATGAGTTTAGTCTGATTCAGCCTTTTTTGCTGATATTGCCCCAAAACTGTTACCCATTGATACTGATATCCCATCTCTACTCAGTTTTCCTTCTGTTCATATGGTTTCTGGTTCCTTAGGGCACCATGTAAAAGTGGGCTTACACTACATGATTCTTTAGCCTGATTTTAACCCTGATTTGCCCTTTCTGACAGATTTTCAAGATTGGGTGTGTGATCAGAAGCAATTGCTAGTGCAGATGATCTGTTTTTTTGAGAAGTGAAACTCGTTAATCTTTGCACACATTCATCTTTGGCCTTATTTTGGATCTTTAGCTATTTAAAAAGGTACTCAAAGCTGAGAAGCAATCGAGCACAGAATACAGCACTTAAAGCCCCTCAAGAATTCTATTAGCTCCCAATGAAATACCATGCACTTACTCGGCGTGAGGTGATTATTTATATGAAGTGTACCATAAGTCTAGACAGATTGGAATTGCAGTAGCGTCTTCAAGCTGTGTGGTATTGATTATATTCTTCGATTCCATTGTTTGCCATGCCTGGATCTTAAATGGCGTATCATTAGCATAAATAGTGCGAGTGGTAAATCAGTGCAAACTGTGTTTGCTTAATGCTGTGTGTATTGATTTGTGTGGATCATGTTATTATGGATTTGATCTTTGCCCAGGTGATGCAGATAGATTAATAACTGCGTATTCTCCCATTCCAGCTCAGTCCTTTAAGGAGTTATCGCAGCTGCTGAACTCAGTAGAGGAGGAGAGAAGACGCCTGGTAAGCATTTTTTCTCTTTCCCTCTTTGCATTGTTCCTGTAGTACATCTACACTTCTATTCGTAAATGCACTAAGAATAATGAATTTGTTCCTTAAACCATTGTTCATTCAGGGGGGTGGATGGGTAATTTAAATGACTCGTAAAGAGGACTTAAAAAGCTTCTGTTATAGTGATTCTGTAAAATGTCTGCTGCAGTCTCAGCTTTTGGCTGAAGTCAGGTTAAAGACACCCTTGATTGGTTCTCTCACTGATGCGAAGGAAGCTAATAAAGCTGATTGAAAGCACTAAAATGTATCGAACACACTGGATCTTAAAAGGATAATTCATGGCCCTGTTATCAAGAGAATTTGATTGATTCCACAGCCATCCATGTCTAGGAGAGCAGTGTTGGCCTCATCCTGTGGCTGGGTAGAATGGCCCTCCCTGTCTCCCCACCACTTACACTATATGCCCAGAAGTATCCAGACACCTCTTCTAATTAGTAAATTCACTTATTTTAAGGTGCATCTATTGCTGACAAACGAGTTCAACTGTGCACACACAGCTTGTATAATCTCCATAGAAAAGCACTGCCAATAGAATCGGACAGTCTGGAGTAGCCACATGTAAGCCTAATGTCACCACGCCCAATGCTTAGCATTGTCTAGAGAGGTAGAAAGCACCCCAGCACTGGGATGTGGAGCAGTGGATCTGTGTTCTCTGGAGTGATAGAGCTCCAACCAATACCTTTGCAGTGAGTTGGTGCAGCATTTGTGATCCAGGATCAATCATCCAATATCAGTACCTGACCTCACTTATGCTCTTGTCGCCGAGAATTCGCACAGCAATGTTCCAACATCTAGTGTAAATCCTTCTCAGAAGAGTAGATGTTGTTACTGTAGCAAAAGGGGAACAAACTCCATAATAATACCCTGATTTCAGAAGAAATGCTGCATAAGCAGGTGTCTGCAAACTTTTGGACATACAGTGTAGCGCAATGCTTGCCACTAGGGGCGTCTGTTAGCTGACATAATAGAATTGCTAGTCAGCGTAATGCATTGAGCTTTGTAGTGCACTAGGCATTTAAAACCATGTCGTGGCTGGCTTCATGTGACTCAGAGGAAGCGTGTGATCAGGCTCAGTTTTACAGGGCTGCAAAAGCATGCGTTGCTCTCAATTTTAATTTTTGCACTCGCAGTACAGCTTTGGGGAAAATGCATTCAGACGGCCTGCCTAACCCCTGCGTGAGACCTGGTGCTGTAGCATGCAGATACTAGGGATGTGCCCAGATGCTTGAGTACTCAGTTAACCATTCAAGGTGCCAGCATACAAATACTGAATCCATTAAACTATGTTTCAGAATAAAAAAACATGCAGATAATTCAGTCAAACGCTAATTCTATGTCTGTGGTGAGGTCACTGATATTTGTGAGTGAACATTGTTATTACAGTTTGCTACTATGAAACATGGATGCCTTAACATGACTGATTTGCCAAGGACGCATGTTTAAGGACGTGACTGAGGAGGCAAAGAGAGGATGCTAACTACTCTAGCTGATGTTAGCTTGATCCAAAAACAGTGGAAGTATATTTCTCTGACAAACTAACATGTTGGCACATCGTCTGCCTGGTGAAGAGGACAACGAGTCCTTCTCAGCATCCAGTGATTCACCGGTCAGCTATGTTGGCTCATTGGCTCATCTGAAGAGGCAGCTTCTGTTACTCACCCAAAACAAAAACCTACCGATATCCCTCGGTGTTCTTCCTTGCGCGGCTAAATGTTTGTGCAACACCAGTGCTATAACCTCAACAGGGTTGTAGGTAAGCCTTGAAGGTAGAACAACTTAGTGTGAAGACTAATTCATCTACTTAGAGCATCTGCATCTGATAAAGCGTGAAACGTTCATATGATCACTGGTGGTTGGTGTGTTGTGCATCTTCTGTTGTTAGCAAACTGGATATTCACTAATGTTGTGGAAATGAATTAAACATAGCTCGCAAGTGGCTGTCGTGGCTAATGTAGCTATCATGGACATGCGCCAGTGTTTTTGGGGAATAGTATTTGAATGCACCAAAGAGAAACTATTATGTTGTGTTATTTATGCAGACGGTGGCGCAGTGGGTAGCGCTGTTGCCTCACAGCGAAAATGGCCTGGGTTCAATTCCTGGCCGGGCAACCAGAGTTGTTTCTGTGTGGAGTTTGCATGTTCTCCCCGTGTCTGCGTGCGTTTCCTCCCACAGTCCAAAAACATGCAGATGAGCTAATGTGTATGTCTGTCTGTCTGCCCTGCGATGGACTGGTGACCTGTCCAGGGTGTATCCTGCCTTCCGCCCAATGACAGCTGGGATAGGCTCCAGCAACCCACCGCGACCCAGAAGGATAAGCGGTTTAGATGATGTATGTATATTTATGCAGAGGATCATTCTTCATAAATTAGCAACTAAAGGATGCACTTTCCCAGCATGAACTTACAGTATTTTTGTTCTGGAAATGGACCTGCATGTGCTGGTCTTCACCCTCCCAGCTTTATAGCACTATTTGAGGTTGGAGAGATTAGACATGACTAGACTAGAGAGAAAGTTGGGTAGTTTGACAAAAACACTCCGATTTACATATTTTTTACTAGTGGATCAGTTAATTTTATTCTTCTTTAGTTTTGAGCTATGAGGCTAATGTAATAGCTTATAGCCACCAGTTAATGTTTTGCAAACTGCTTGCAAAAATCGAACCACATTGATCTGAGTGCAAACTAAAGAAGGAAACTTGGTGAAAATTTGATTTTATTTTGCTAAACTACTGAAAAATACAGCTTGCCCGTATCCTGCTGTCTCTGTCTGCAGATGAAAAACATAAAGGCTGATAGGTGGGATCGGAAGCTCTGCCAGTGGAGCTGCGCCATGAAAACAAGCCGCCAGCATCAGTCGCTGGCATGCTGCACCCTGCAGCTCAGTGTCGGGCACAGTCTGTGTATGTCTGTGAGGGTGGTCTGCCCTCCAGGCTAGAGCAGTGCTGGCAAGGTGTGGCACAGGGAAGTGCAGCCTAATGAAAACACATATACGTAATGTGCTGGTGAATTGAAACCACTGGCATTGGGACACTTTCATGTACAAGTAATTTGTCTTGGCTGAAGTGGTTCATGCATAAATATACAATACTAAACGCACAGTAAATAAATACTAACGGGTGTAACACTGACAATTATTTAGGATTCAAAGCATCACGAAAATTCCAGTTTCACAATCTGATGGGATTGTTTGGTAATATTCAGAATTTCTCTATATGCAGTACTGTGCAGAATTCAGAGACCACCCTTCATATATTAATAAGCACCAGACATTAAGTGCAAGTTAAGGAAGGGGAGAGTGAAAAGAAAATAAGTGGAAAAAGTTTCCAAAACTGGACTTTATTATTACTGTTCAGAGTTTCTGTTCATCCTTCCGCTGTGAGAAGTGAAATGAACTCTACAAGTCTGAAAGGACGTGAAGCTGTCAAGAAGCCGTTACCGAGAAAAGGAAACAGACAAAAGAAGTATTTTGGTGCTCTCAGAACAATGGACTGGCCACTCCAGTGTCCAGACCTCAACATCACTGAATGTGTTTGGGATTGTTTGGATTGTAAGAAGCAGAAAATGCAACCAACTTCTTTAACTGAACATTGGAAGGCTTTAAAAAACTGAGAGCAAGTCTCCCAAAAAGAATGGAAACTGTAATAAAGGCGAGGGGTGGACACACTAAATACTGAAATATTTAGTTGAGTTGTGTAGTTTTGAATATTTTTCTCCTGCTTCTAAAAAATGATCAACTTGTACACTGAATACAAAATATAACTGGTGGCCTCTGAGATTTTTAGATTTGATGTTTTAATATTATGCTATAGTATAATCTGTTCTAACATTACAATCAATTCAGTTCTGCCGTCTTCAGAATGGATCATGATGTTTCTATGCATCAAAGATAAAGCCGCAAAGAATCACAGAATATAAAACATCCACTTCCACAGTTGATGCAACAGAATCCATGAAGTGGAATAGCAAGAAACAGGCCCAATGAAGGGGGTGGTGGCCCAAGGAGATAAAAAGGAGTTGAAGATGGAGTCCTGTGCTCCTTAGGACTTACTAAATTAAATAGCAAGAAGGGGACCCAAAGAAGGGATTGGTGTCCCAAGGAGGTACAGAATAAGATAGAGGAATAAGTTCAATGCCTCATAAAACACACCGAGAAGAGTAGCAAGAAACGATATCGCTGCTGTCGGAACGAAACCTCGTATCTCCAAAATGGTAACATTACAGGAGAAGAAAAAACCTACTTTACTTTTAATGTAAGTCAGTGGAACCAGACTTTTTTCCAAGTAAATTTGGGCCGTTTCTTTCAGTCCATTCATCAAGTTCCACACTATGTAAAGGACGACAGGCATTTTGCAAATTATGTCAAAAACTGAAAGACGACAAAAATGGAGATGAGAGGTTTTCTTCTGACAGCGGCGATATGAAGAACCTCAGCAATATATAATCGCTCTTGGTTCCTTCATACCCAATACAAGTTCATGCCTTAAGATTCAAAGTTTTTTCCAAAAAATACTGAAATTCCATTGCGCCACTGCACTGTAATTTTGATCAGATGGGTTATGACTGCGGGAACCGAACACATGCTCATGCCATCATGGTGTCAGTAAATTTCTTGAGCTAGCGAGATCCAAAAGGCCTCGATCACAATCTCCGCATTTTCCAAGCCCCTATTTCCTCACTGTTATTGCCTTGGTTGTCATCTGTTCGTCTGAAACAGCACAGGATTTCATCAAGTAGCAGCAGCAATGTTCCCATAACTCGTAGAGATGCTCGCGAAATGGGTCCATGGAGATGGGAGAATATTCACAAATGCTCATTTGAAATCACAAACTGCCCCTTTCTGAAAGACGAGGCCTTTCAGCACACTCACCTACCCCACTCTTAACGGCCCACGTGATTGGGGCCGGAATGTCTTTTATGGACTGTTACCAGTCAGCCATAGTAATTCTCAGAAT